GGCTCCCCTCACCGCGGCCATGTGCCCCCCACCGCTTCCAACGGCGGCCCCGTCCCCCTGCGGCGGCCACGCCCCCTGCCGCAGCCAATGGGCGTGCGGGCCGTGCGCCCCGCCCGCGCGCGCGCTCCCGGCCCCTATATTAACGGCCATTGCGGCGCCCCCTCAGCGCCGCTCCCGCCTTCTCGCCCGGCATCGCCTCCCTCTCGCGCCGCTCCCGCCATGACCGATGCGGCCGTGTCCTTCGCCAAGGATTTCCTCGCCGGCGGGGTGGCGGCCGCCATCTCCAAGACAGCTGTCGCCCCTATCGAGAGGGTCAAGCTGCTGCTGCAGGTGAGCGCCGGCGGCCGGGGCCGTTCCAAGGTCGCCGCAAGGAGAGGGCGGGCGGCGTTGGTGGGCCGGGGGCTGGCGGGGGAGCGGCGCTGACAGCGGCATCTCGGCCCCTGCAGGTGCAGCACGCCAGCAAGCAGATCTCCGCCGACAAGCAGTACAAGGGCATCATCGACTGCGTGGTGCGCATCCCGCGGGAGCAGGGCATCCTCTCCTTTTGGCGCGGCAACCTGGCCAATGTGATCCGGTACTTCCCCACCCAGGCCCTCAACTTCGCTTTCAAGGATAAGTACAAGCAGATCTTCCTGGGCGGCGTGGACAAGCGAACCCAGTTCTGGCGGTACTTCGCCGGTAACCTGGCATCCGGGGGTGCCGCCGGCGCCACCTCCCTCTGCTTCGTCTACCCCCTTGACTTTGCCCGAACCCGCCTGGCAGCGGATGTGGGTAAAGCCGGGGCCGACCGGGAGTTCAGTGGGCTCGGTGACTGCCTGGTCAAAATCTTCCGCTCGGATGGCATTCGGGGCCTGTACCAGGGCTTCAGTGTCTCTGTCCAGGGCATCATCATCTACAGAGCCGCCTACTTTGGCATCTATGACACTGCCAAGGGTAGGTTGACCCAAACGGCACAAAAACAGAGCTGTGGGCTGCGGCAGGCCTGAAGTGCATTTCGATAGTGCTGGTGGCTTACCTGCCGTTCTCATCAAAGCCTCTCTCCTGCAGGCATGCTTCCAGACCCAAAGAACACCCACATTGTTGTCAGCTGGATGATTGCTCAGACCGTCACTGCTGTCGCTGGTTTGGTCTCCTACCCTTTTGATACGGTTCGTCGTCGCATGATGATGCAGTCTGGCCGGAAAGGAGGTAAGTTTCTTCCTCGCTGTATAAGAGTTATTGGGCATCCCTGAATCAATAGCTGGTGGTGGAGCTGAAGTGAAGGCAGAGTGGCTTGGCTTTCATCAGCCTGTGTAGATATCCTCATCTCTTGTAAGCAGGGGTGTAGGAGGGGCTGCAGAAGCAGGTGACAGGAAGGAACACGAATGGGTCAGCCTGTGCAGCACACCTGTAAGGTGGCATGCACAAGTCAGGTATATGTCAGTAGGTAGGAGGAGCAGAAACCACCCTTGGATGTTGCAAGTCAATGTCTCTGGGACAAGAAAATACAGCCTCCATTGTAGGCACAGCCTGGCCAACTGTGCGGTAGCTTTTGGGTTTGGAAGTGTTGGTGTCAAAGCAAGGAGTTGCAGCCTTCTGCTTGAACTGGTCCTCCCAGTGTCTCTCAGAGACAATGCAGCAGCAGCACCATCTCTCCTGGGCAGTCTCGTCCTCTGATGTGCTAGTATTGGAGAAAGTCAGCCAAGAAATGGGATGCACTTGAGGTTGTAAAGCTAGTAGATACATGAGGCTGTTTCTGACTTGGATGTTGGGGGTCGTGGGCATCCAGTTGCTAAAGCTGTCTGTCTCCTGCAGCTGACATAATGTACTCCGGCACTCTTGACTGCTGGCGGAAGATTGCCCGGGATGAGGGCTCCAAGGCCTTTTTCAAAGGTGCATGGTCAAACGTACTCCGAGGAATGGGTGGTGCTTTTGTCTTAGTCCTCTATGATGAAATCAAGAAGTATACATAAGTTGTTTCCTATTGTGAACTGGCATGTTGTTCTGTGTAGTCTATGACTGTTCACGGACTTGTTTGAAAACCATCTAGTTACTAAACAGTGGCAGCTGATGTTTGTACAGGTTGGCATGGGGCAGAGGTGACTGCCTGCCCTGTCTTTATCAAACTATTCCCCCGATGGGACTCATGATGGTTTCTATTTCAGTCACTCCTGCTTAAAGAGTACAGAGAAATAAAAATCTGAAACCAATTTTCCTCATCTCATGTTTGTTCTTACAGCATTTGAAGTATGAGGGGGTTGGGAGTCTCAGCGGTTGTAGAGAAGGAGGAAGATGAACCACCTCTATCCTGCAAGCCTCAGAACCTGCTAAGTACTGGCAGGTAAACACAGTGCAGGCTGCCAAGGAAGCTAGGTAGTGTTTCCTCCCCAGGGGAAGCCAGTGGTGTAGGCTTGAATGGGGACTGGCAGCTCTGAAGGGCTCACCCAGCTGACCTCCCTGAGACTCAGCTCTCCAGAGATGATGGACTGAGTGTGTGCCATAGTCCTGTCTCTGGCCTGTCTGCTCCTTGGAGCTCATGAAACCTGATTTTGGTGGTGCCAAGTGCCTTAATTGTGTGTAAAGCACAGCACTCCCTATGGCACTGGATGTCTGGGAGGCTGGAAGAATGTGTAAGGGAGGGGCAGAGCTTGGAGTCATGTTCTCTCCCTTAGAAAGTGAGCTACCTAATTGGGCATGTAGGTAGCCAGAGGACAGAAGTGCAGTGAATTGCTGCTGTTCTGTAGCTTCCCTGGCTTGCCTTGTTCTCACAGAGGGTGCTCTGCTGTGGGGATGCAGCAGCTGAGCAGAGACAGCTTCTGTACCAGCTGTGCTTACTAGGCAGGGAGATGGATTTCCAGACTCATTCCTTATCCCTAGAACTTAAGCTTCAAAATTCCAGGGGAAGGGGAAAATTTGTTCATGCTGCTGGGACAATCTGGGGAAAACTGCAAGATGGAGCAAGGCGTGTGGTGTGGCCTTTACCCAGATATCTCTGTAGGTCTTTGAGTCATCCCAGTGAAGCTGCCTGGTTTCTGCCTGCAGATATGGAGTGGTGAGGGAATGCTCTCCTGGTCTTCTGCCTTTCAGATCAGCAAGTCTCCTCACTTTCCCCATGCCTTTGGTCCTTTCTGGCTGCCCAGGCCTGCTCAAAGCAGTTAATTTCAATCACTGAAACCAATCTCAGCCACTGCCTGAGGCATCTAAACAAGACCTTTTGTTTTTTGTTGCAAAGGGCAAGAATTGTTTTTATTGCTGGAGTCTAAGCAGGGCAGCCAGGCATGAGAGTGCAGCACCTTCCTGCTGCAGGTGGTGTTGGCTTGCCAGGGTCCCTGTGAGTGGGCATGGCCCTTCCTGATGGGAGACAGTCTTGTGGCTCACAGCTGAGCCAACTGTCCAGGCTGATGATTTTCAACTGCCCCTGGGCTGCTGCAGTGTGAGATCCCCCACTGCCTGCTGTGGAAATGAAATGGGCTGTAAAGGTGAGATATGAAGCAGTGCCACAAGCCGTGGGCAATGCTGGGGGCACAAGCAGCAGCTTGGCAGGTCTCTGTGCCATGGGGCAGCTTCACCAGAGAGCCCTCTCCTGTTGTACAAGTGCCAGCTTATTAAGTAAGGGCTCTCAGCCTGCTGCTGCTGATCTCTCCTGGATTTCAAGGGCTGTTCTGAAATGCTGCTGGTTGCTTAGCATGGGTTATCCCTTCCTGTCCTTTCCTGCACAGGGGTTGCATGGCCAGGCCATTGGCACATTAAGGTAAGTGCATCATTTCTTCCTGCACATGGTGGTGGGTGAGGCACTGAGCTGGGCTGTTGTACCAGGCTGCAAAGGAGCTGAGCTGGGCATCCCTAAGTTAAGACCTACAGATTGTGAACTGGACTTGGGCTGCAGGGCTGGCACTGAGTGAAATGGGTTTTAGCTACCTGCCCTATTGACTGCTTTGGGGATTCAGGAAATGAGAATGTGTTTC